TATAATTTTAAATGAAAGATGTCGTATTTATTTATTTTTCTCTGCGACAGTTTTCCTACTGTGTTAACAGAAAAATGTCAAACGAATTTAGTATTTTGACAAGACCAATAAAAAGCTAATAGGCTATTTTTGTACAACCTACATTTTTATTTTTTCTCTCTCTGCTACACTTTTTCCCTATTGTGTTGTCAATGTTAAACGAATTGTATCCTGACAAGACGAATAAAAATAAGAAATACAATTTTACAACATTTTTATTTTCTCTGACACTTTTTTTTCCTACTGTGTTGCATAAAATATTAAACGAATTTTGTGTCAAGATAATTCATATAAATTCAAGTCAAAGTCAATAAATTCAAGACTCTTGACAAGACGAATAAAATAACACAATTTTGTGCAGACTACACTTTTATTTGTCAGCCTATCTGTCTTTCTTTCAGTAGCGGAAATTTAAATGCGAGATTCTGGAAACGAGATCTACATTTAGCGGGAACGGTCGGGTCGGGAAGAAAATTATTCTATGCGGACAGCGGGTGAACAAAGAGTGCATATATAGCGGGAGCGGGTGGGTGCGGAATAGAACCTTGCGGGCGCAGGACTAAAAAAACAGTCCCGCGCAGACCCCTAACTGAAAGTGATGGATTAATCTAAACTGATTTAAAGACTTTTTTTTTTTTTTTTACTGTCTAGACAAAAATAACTCAGATCATAATGTCCAAGTCAATAGCATTTACAAATAAAAACCACACACCTTTTGGACTAATTTTGCAGCATGATTTCTCGACTTCCACAAATACTGCCCTAACACAATCCTCATTTTGTGCACTTTTTACTTTACCAATATTTTAAATTGGCCTTTGAACTTAGCTTTATTGCATGTCAAATAAAAAATAAAGCGTTACTTTGCCAAAGCACTGACAGAACCCATTGATATAACTGTGTTGTTGAGCGCTCCAAATGCAAACTTTGCATGAAACAATCCGGCAGCAATTGACAGCGCGCTGATCCAATGTCATACAGGCACCGTCAAATTGACAGTACTCTACCCAGTGATGTTGGGGGATCCAGTGGGGGTGGCAATCATATTTCAGGTTGGCTGTGCCACTTTTTATCACAACCCTGCTAAAATGTAGCGCCAGTACGTGCGCTCAATGGCGCCCCCTCCTGCTGGTGGCGCCCTAGGCCTAGAAACAGGCCTGATTGTCAGTCTATAGTACTTTAGACTGCATACTAAAGTTTGAACTTTTTTTCTGTTTAACAATTTTGAGTTAACAGAAAAAAAAACTTCTGGAAAAAACCCTTAAAAACCTTATTAAACTATTAAAGTCAACAATATATATAATTAAAAAAAAATCTAAATTACAACCACAGCAAAGACAGGCTGATTGAATGATTGAGATAATGAAACAGATATTATTAAAAGATTTCAGCTATATTCAGAACAATTCAGGAATCAGGAGTGGTGTAATCAGTAAAAATGCTGTTTGATTAAGTATTAATTACACACATATTTGTCATCTTTAGCATCTTTTTGAGTGAGACATGTAATTCTTGCATCCTACCATGCAATTGTATTCTTATGACAGTTGTTTTACACTACAACATAGTCACTGAATAACATTTATGCAAACATCTTATTTTGGGTTGATCATGAATGCTTTCTAACATATATTCAACAAATATTCAGAAACATATTTGTGCAAGTCATTGTAACTATCATTTTTTGTCAAAGGAAGACTCTCCTACGTTTCAGTTATTTGAAAGGAACAAACAACTTTAAGAAAATAGGAAATCAAACCATAAATTATTAAGTGTAGAAATACTTAACCCTGGTCCATAGCCTTAATATTTAACTAAAAATTATAATGTTAACAGTAGGTCTGTTACTCTAGATTTGTGTTCATGGCCATATTTAAGTAGCATATTAAAGAATATTAACAGAATCAAATGCAACTCTTTAAAAAAAAAAAAAACTTTCATAAAATGAAATAAACAGAGGCAGTGGGTGTGGCCACTGAGTCATACAGCCACGCCCTCATCGTTTGACTCCTCCCCTACATCATCATAGTCTGCATTAAAAAAAAAGCAAAAAAATTGTTTAATGTTATGATTGCATCAGTATTCCAAACTTAACTCAATTTAATTTAAATCAGCAAATTACTAATATAATTATTTATAAGTTTTTGTGTCTTAAAATAGGCGCTAATGAAGAATGAGGTGTGTCCAAACTTTTGAAAGGCAATTTTATTCTTAATATATAATACTTAATATATTTAATAAATGTAGGAATCATAAGACAAAAGGGTTACCTAACAGGTTTCTCACATCTTCAGTGATACTCCACACATCATCATACTCCTCCTGATCTCCCACTTTACACATGTACAAAAAATATAATTTTATGTTTTAATACACCTTGATATTGTGTCATGTCATAGACCCCTGTCCCCTCATGACAGATTGTTAGATTACACCTGATAAAGCCATAATGATTAATTAATGGTGTAAACATATTCAATATATCATAGAAACAAATGTAGATGATTAAAAATAAGTTCTGTGTGACTCACCTTTTGCACATTGAGAGCACCGTCCATTAATGATGTGATCATCATAATTCTCTGGTGTGTCCACTACACATACACACACACATACAACATTATAAGCTCTTAAATATAACATTAAGCTGATAAAATAATAATTTAAATAATAACTGGCCTTTACCTTAAAGAAGTAGGGTGTAAAAATTCATGAGCAAAATTATATAAAAATAAACCTACCGTTTTCAGTACCATAGTTCTGTCCACTAGTAATGACATCATAATATCCCTCTGGTGTGTCGTCTACAAATTTAACATGAAACCAATGCCATCACACTTAGAACAAGCTTGAATGTACTGTATATATTAATATGCACATTATAGAATTACAGAAAAAGAAATACAAGTAATGTACAGAAGAGCATCAGCACCTGTCTCACAATCTGGTATCGGTCCACCGGTGAAGATATCCTCATAGATTCCTGGTGTGATCTCATTCACTCTCTCTTCAAAATCAAAATATTATATATAAAGTCATTAATTTCCTGAAATTTCACAGTTTACATTCATTTACTGAGTTTGTAAATCACCTCTCTAACCTGAGAGAAGCTCATCAGCGTCTTCAGCGATAAGACTCTCTGTTAAAGGAGAGCAGAACAATCAGTTGTTGTTGTTGTTTTTTTGGAAATGTCATCTTTGTAGGATTCAACTTTGCAAGCTGTTTTGAAAGTTAAGATCAACAACCTGATCCTTATATAAGCATGAGGTGCCAAGCTGACTTTAACATTGTAAGGGTAATTAGTAATGTGCTAGCAATTGAGGAGAAGTATACACTGTGTAGAGACCCTTTGAATCGATACACAGTTACAGTTACATTCTCCCGTGTCTATTAATGGGTCTGTGCTGAATCTCCTCATAAATGGCCTCAGTCGTCGTCCTGTGTTTCCTCTTAGAGAGAGCTGTGAGTGTAGACAGACAAACCTGCTGTCAGTTCACAACACATGACTGATCACACACTGAATAAGACACAATATGACAGTCTCTGGATCTCTCCTACCTCTCCTCATCACTCTGTTCTGCTGAATCAGTATAAGCAGTGGCACTAAGAGCAGTAAGAGCACAACTCCCAGTACAATCACAAGCACTGGGGGGATGGAGAGAGACACTGCTGGAGGAGTTTGTGGAGGAGCGACTGATGTTGAGCACACTGAAGGAGAAACTGGATACTGTGGTAGTGTGGTAGTGGAATCTGACAATGTAAAAAATTCTGAAATTATAATCAGTTGATGCAAATATTTTACACTCTAAAATGATCAAATGAACATTATTCCTCAGTGTTTGCTGTGACCTGCACAGGTGAGTCCAGCGTGCTCTTTGTGGGAGCAGTCAGTGTGGTTTTTCAGGGAGAGAGGACAGTCCCACAGGTGAATCTCATTCCCTCTGCATTCAACTTTGTTCAGCCACACAACACCTTCACCAGCACTAATTGTTGAATTCCCATCAGCCCTCAGTGCTGCTCCACAACCCAGCTGCCTGCAGACCACCTGAGCATCGCTGATGTCCCACTGATCATCACAGACTGAGCCCCACACAGCGTTATGATACACCTCCAGCCTCCCAGAGCACCGGCCATCCCCTCCACTCAGTCTGAGAGGAAGATGCACCTCTATGAGTAGATAGATTGTGTCTGTGATAAATTTCCTCATAAACTGGCTCAGTTTGAGACTGAGTCCTGTGTAGTCCTGTGTACCAGTCAGAAAGAGCTGTGTGTAGACAGACAAACCTGCTGTCAGTTCACAACACATGACTGATCACACACTGAATAAGACACAATATGACAGTCTCTGGATCTCTCCTACCTCTCCTCATCACTCTGTTCTGCTGAATCAGTATAAGCAGTGGCACTAAGAGCAGTAAGAGCACAACTCCCAGTACAATCACAAGCACTGGGGGGACGGAGAGAGACGCTGCTGGGGGAGTTTGTGGAGGAGCGACTGATGTTGAGCGCACTGGAGGAGAAACTGGAGGAGAAGCTGATGTTGTTGTGGCAGGAATAGTGGACACTGACACATCTGGCAAAACAGACACAAACACATTCAAAATTATGAATACATAAAATGATCTAAAGAGTAATATTATTCCTCAGTGTTTGCTGTGACCTGCACAGGTGAGTCCAGCGTGCTCTTTGTGGGAGCAGTCAGTGTGGTTATTCAGGGAGAGAGGACAGTCCCACAGGTGAATCTCATTCCCTCTGCACTCGACTCTGTTCAGCCACACAACACCTTCACCAGCACTAATTGTTGAATTCCCATCAGCCCTCAGTGCTGCTCCACAACCCAGCTGCCTGCAGACCACCTGAGCATCGCTGATGTCCCACTGATCATCACAGACTGAGCCCCACACAGCGTTATGATACACCTCCAGCCTCCCAGTGCACCGACCCTCCCCTCCACTCAGTCTGAGAGGAACATGATCTAAAACACACACATCAACCATCACTGATCAGCTTCAGCACAATATTCACAACAAAACACGCACGGAGAGTGAAGTTAGAGGTATTTAAAACAGTGATTAATTTAAATGTGGAAAATAAATAATTCAGTATTTAACTGCACATATACAAAATATTTAGTAATCAATGTTAGCAACCTGAACATGCAAAACAAATGACTGGCAGAAAGCACCTAATTTTTCTGATTGGTGAAAAAAACACAGCCTGCACCCAGTTTATTCTTTGTGGTTTACAGAGTCACAGAAAAAAGTCTGATTACTCATTATTACCAATATTTTCAAAGATTTGTCAGCTAGTTTTATATGTGGAAAAGGTAATAAATATTTAAACCTATTTGTTGTCAAATAAACTTACTTGAACACTGCCTCTGGTGAGATGATGTTGAACATGTCAGATGGCTCCGCAGAGACTCGTGAATTTCCTCCTCTGAGATTATAACATGATCACAGTTTAATGAATAAAATAATTTAAAATAATTTATTCAATCTATTTACTACATTTCATGTAAAAATCAACCTTTACATTTATAGAAATATTAGTGAGTTTAAATAGTTTAAAATCTTACCAGAGCAGGTGATTTTGGCCACTTCATTATCACAGACATTCTGTCCCCAGAGTGAAGAAGGACACTGCCATAAAGTGGAAAATTCATTCAATTAATTCTTACCAAAGCAAGTGATACTGGCCACCTCATTATCATAACAGTTGTTCTGGCCCCAGGGTAAAGATGGACACTGCCACAAAGTTTTGTCATGTTTTCGACATTTAAGATGATCTAACCAATTAGGAGCAGATCTTAGTCCCACTGAATAACTGGGTTCACTGCCAGATCTTCCACAGTTCAGCTCTTGACAGATCAGACTCGCTGTGTCTCTGTCCATCTGGTTATAACATAAATTACCCCAGGATCCAGTGTAGAAAACCTCCAGATTCCCTTCACAGCCATCAGTTAACCTGATCTTTTTAAACTCTAGATGGAAAAGGGAATTGTATTAATTAAAAAAATTTACAATTCTTTTAGTGCTTTTAAGAAACAAATATTGGGAATTGTATTTCACAGTTTGCAGTAATAAGATGCATGTCTTTGATTAACTAAAAAGAACTGACTCAGAGTCATTCATTCGGGAATCAGACTAAAATTGTCACATTGTGTGTTTTGCAATGAATAGTCAACAGCAGTGTTGCGCCCCTGAGTAAGGAGATCTTTAGTTCCATCTACACTAGAAAAATGCATGTGCATGGACTGTTAACAGGATCACTCCTGAAATTCGTTTAAAAACACATAAAAGAGTTTTTAACCCTGTTCTTAATGTGTATAATGTAAATACTGTACACTGGATATTGTTAATTAGTCACATACATAGGTTATAGAAATGTTATTGTTTATATTATTTTTCACTGTTTACCTGAGCACACGACTCCTACATCCTCCTTGTGTTGACAGTCATGTTTTCCCCAGCCTGGAGAAGAGCAGCTCCACAGGGTGAACAAAGTATTGTAGTTACAGGTTACAGAAATGGTACTGCTAATTGATTTTTTTTTTTCAGTATAAGCATTCATGACTCTCTTGATTAAATAAGTTTACCAGAGCAGATGACTCCAACATCTCGTCTATGAGAACATTCAGCTCGACTCCATGAAGAGATGGAACATTCTGAGAGTTTTGTTTCATTCCCGTCACAATCAAACACATCAGCCCAGATTTCACCACTTCCCTCTCCAAACCAGTCTGATCCCACAACAGACACAGCAATCCCACAATTCAGCTGTCTACAGAGGACACTGGCAGCTCTCATATCCCAGCATGCATCACACACTGTGCCCCACTCTTTGAGGAACCGAAGCTCCACTCTTCCAGAACAGGAGTCTGAACTGTTTACCAGCCTGAGATCTGTGTAACCTGGACAAAGCATGAGAATTCTTTTAAACAGCGTAAAACAAGAGACAAGTTAAAGGCACAATATGTAATTTTCGCCGCTAGAGGGAACAGGTTATGTTTGGTTATGCAAACAGGTTATTTTTGACAAAACAGTGCAAGTGACACATATTTAATAACTAAAAACACAATACAGAATAAACCATGCACGTTCTGTCTAGTGTGTTTTTGCACATTTTAGTGTATTGTTGTCTGCATGACAACATGAAGAAGAGAGAATTTCAGTAACGTAAAAAAGTATATTTGTAATCAATTAATTGAAAAGTAACTTAACTCAGATATAATGGTGTGCATAAAAAAGTAATGCATACTTTTTACTTCTGAAAATTCAGATTACGTAAATTGCATTACCTCCCATATGCACACACACACAAATACATGGAAAATATATATATACTCAACCAGAACATATAACTCCAAGATCATTCTCATGGGAACAGTTGTTTTTGCTTGAAGATGTATGTGGGCAAAAATATATCTGAGATTCATTTCCTCTGCACTGAATCTCTTGTGAGCACACGACTCCTACATCCTCCTTGTGTTGACAGTCATGTCTCCCCCAGCCTGGAGAAGAGCAGCTCCACAGGGACGTCTCATTCCCTTCACACTCCACCTCATCCAGCCATATTGGTCCAGAACCAGGACCAAACCAGCCGCTGTGAAAAACCTCCAGCCTCCATACACTGTCCCACATGAGCCGCTGTGAAAAACCTCCAGCCTCCCTGCACAGTCTCCCCCAGAACCCACCAGCCTGATGGACCCGCGACCTGATATTCAGAGAAAGAAAAACACATTATTGACCACGAACAGCTGAAGAATCTGTCCAGATGTTGTTCTTCTCACCGATGCACGTGATTGACAGCTGTTGTGTGGAGCTGCAGTTGACGGTTTGTGGACACTGGAAGCCCGTCACACACTCATGACTGTGTTCAGGACTGGATGAAGAGGAGCCGTAGAAGTTCAGCACAGAGCCACAGCCCAGCTGTCTGCAGACCACAGAGGATTCAGTGAGACTCCAGGAGTCGAGCAGAACTCTCCTCCAGACCTGATGGATGAAAACTTCCACCTCCCCCTCACACTGTCTCTCTCCAGACAACCGCACCAGACCATCATGAAGAGCCAGAGAGGAACCTGAAGAGAGTATTTATTTATCATTCAGTATTTATCTAAAATATACTTAGAAGTAGTTTTAGTCTGGAGCCCATGACTTCATCGCGGCATGAATAGACTCACTAGAGCAGATGACTCCAACATCTCGTCTATGAGAACATTCAGCTCAAAGGGATATGTACATTGTAAAAAAAATTATATTTTTTTAAGTTGTAACAAAATGATCATTGGAGTACTTTTTATAAGAAAATACTATTTCAGTCTTTCTACTTCAAAATTTCATGTTTAATTAAATGAGTTTCTTGTAATTTATTGTGAAATATTCAAGCAACTTCTGTTCAATTAATGTTGTAAATGCATGGTTACTTTTTCATAAAACAGTGTTAGCCTCATTATAATCTGTTAACAAATATTAAAAATATGTCTGATGCTTATTTTAGACATTAACATTTTTCTCTCATGAAAAAAATACTGGTACATTTTCTAACAATATAAATCTTGTCATTGTTGGTCATTAAGCACCATTTATTAATGTTAAAAGAAAACCATTTTTAAAATTTGGAAATATACACATTTTTTTGTTGTTTGTTTTTTAATCTATTCATGAGAGGTTGATTTAAGGTAGGTGGTTCATCACTGAGGACAAGCTTGAAGCAGTTTACCTGAGCAGATGACTCCAGCATTACCATTAGGACCACAGCCTTGTTCACCTTGTCTTAATGGCCCACAGTTCTTCAGTGTGGATTCTAATCCATTACACATGGCAAAATACATCCATATTGGTCCTGATTCTGGTCCAAAATGAGCATCACTCAGAACATCTACAGGTTCTCCACAGTTCAGCTCTCTACACACCACTGCAGCATCAGCCAAATCCCAGAACTTATCACACACTGTTCCCCACTGACCTCTATGAAGAACCTCCACTCTACCAGCACAGCGACTGTGACCACCAACCAACCTCACATTTACACTGTCTGTTAATGCAATAGATGAATAACAGATTAATTGAAAGAAGGAATGAACAAGATTGGAGGGGAAAGAATGGGAAAACAGAGGGAGAAAAAAAGGGGGAAAATACAGCTAATTATATCTAATAAATATATTAATAAACGGTTAAATAATGTACTGTAGATAATGTGTGACAGTCAGCAGCAGCATAATATAATTGCTTAATGTTTCATTTGAGATTATTTTACTCCTTGATTCAAAGTATAAACCTACCAGAGGTGATGAGTTTTATCAGAAACATCAGCATTAGACAGGTCTTCATCTTCTCCATCTGCTCAAGTATTTCATCAGCTCAAAATGCAGCACAAGTTTCTCCGCAGCTCCCTCAAACACTCTGAAGAAACTGGCTCCTGTCAGCTCCCTAAAGAGAGAATATGTGCCAAAACGTTCCAATCAAGTTCATCATTACCTTATTAGACAGAACTCTGATCCAGTACACATGACAAAACTCATCCAGATTGGTCCTGAACCTGATCCAAAATGAGCATCATCCAGGGCATCTACAGCTTCTCCACAGTCCAGCTCTCTACACACCACTGCAGCATCAGCCAAATCCCAGAACTCATCACACTCTGTT